GATATATATATATATATATATATATATATATATATATATATATATATATATATATATATATATATATATATATATATATATATATATATATATATATATATATATATATATATATATATATATATTTATTTATTTATTTGGATTTAAATATTTTAATCAAAAAATATTTCTTTTTATCTTCATATTTGTTCATTTATATTATTGTTTTTCACACTATAGATTATAATAGTAATCGTGATTGATATTTTATTATTAGATTTTCATATTTTTTCTATTTGCATTTATTTTATGACTGAAAAGAACAATTACATATTTTTATATTAGTATTTATAGTTGTAATATTTTGAAATGAATTATTTGTTTATTTTATATTTATATTTGTTCATTTATATAATTACTTTTTATATTATAGATTCTATTACTGTTTGTTATTTATAATATATTATTAGATTAATATTTTTTATGTTTGTATTTATTATATATTAACAATTTTTAAAATGTTTGGTAGTTTTAAATGTGTTTATTATTTATTAATATGACTTTATTATTTACATTCATTTTGTTTTCGGTTTTCCTTTATTAATCAGGGGTCGCCACAGCGGAATGAACCGCCAACTTATCAAGCATATGTTTTACACAGTGGATGCCCATCCAGCTGCAACCCATTACTGGGAAACACCTATACAGACTTATTCACACACATACACTACGGAAAATTTAGAGGTGTCTAATCTCTGTCCTGCAGGGCCAGTGTCCTGCATAGTTTAGCTCCAACTTTCTTTAGCACACCTGCCTGGAGCTTTCTAGTATACCTAGAAAGAGCTTGATTAGCTGGTTCAGATTTGTTTAATTGGGGTTGGAACTAAAATATGTGGGACACCGGCCCTCCAGGACTGAGTTTGGGCAGCCCTGACTTATAGCGCATATCTTTAGACTTGTGGGGGAAACAGGAGCACCCGGAGGAAACCCACGCCAACATGGGGAGAACATGCAAACTCCACACAGAAATGCCAACTGACCCAGTCGGGGCTAGAACCAGCGAGCTTCTTGCTGTGAGGCAACAGCGCTGCCCATTACGCCACAGATTTTATTATTTTATGTATATTAATTTTTTTATTCAATTAATATATTTATATTTCATTCATTCATTTTACTTCGGTTTAGTCCCTTTGTTCATCAGTCGTCACCACAGCGTAATGAACCGCCAACTATTCCAGCATATGTTTACACAGCGGATACCCTTCCAGTACTGGAAAACACCCATACACTTCGGCCAATTTAGCTTATTCAATTCACCTATATCGCATGTGTGGAGGAAACCCATGCCAACACGAGTAGATCATGCAAACTCCACACAAACACCAATTGACCCAGCCGAGACTCGAATCAGTGAACTTCTTGCTGTGAGGTGACAGTGCTAACCACTGAGCTACCGTGTCGCCCCTATATTTTTATTTGTTAATTAATTTAATATATTTATATTATAGAAAAAAAACTCTTAAATACACTTATTTACATTTTAACTCCCCCCCCCAAAAGCATCCAGATTCAGTTGAACAGGTAAATGTGTTGTTGTACATAGGCTGAGGCAAAGGAAAAACAAATACTGTATTCCACATACAAAAATACACTTTATTAAATTAAAAAGGCTGACACAAAGCGTGTAACATTTCGAGCCACGCAGCTCTTCATCTGACAGTGTTTATCACTATCAGGTGCTCCTTTTTGTATACTTCCACATGATATCCTCTCGCATATATATATCCACACACACATACATACATATGAATACATACATACATACATACATACACATTCATTCAAATATACATACATATAAATACATACATACACACTCATTCATACATCCACATATACACATACATTTGAATACATATATTCATACTTATTCATATATATACACACATAAACATAAATATTCGTATATATACACATATACATACATACATACATAGTTACATACATACATGTCATTCATTAATTTTCTGGTCGGATTAGTCCCTTTATTAATATGCCACAGCGGAATGAACCACCAACTTATCCAGCAAGTTTTTACGCAGCGGATGCCCTTCCAGCCGCAACCCATCTCTGGGAACCTCCACACACACAACGACAATTTAGCCTACCCAATTCACCTGTACTGCATGTCTTTGGACTGTGGAGGAAACTAGAGCACCCGGAGGAAACCCACGCGAAGGCAGGGAGAACATGGACACTCCACACAGAAACGCTGAGGTTCGAACCAGCGACCTTCTTGCTGTGAGGCGCTGTGAGGCGACAGCACTACCTACTGCGCCACTGCCTCGCCACATACTCATTCATACATACACACACGTACACACACGTACTCATATATATATATATATATATATATATATATATATATATATATATATACATACATACATACGTACTCATTCATTCATATGTACATACGTACTCATTCATTCATATGTACATACGTACTCATTCATTCATATATATACACATTTGCACACGCACACACACACACACACACACTCAAATATACATACATACTCATTCTTATATACATATGAATACATACATACACACACTTATTCATATATATATACACATATACATACATATGAATACATACACACATACATACAAACATACACACTCATTCATTCATATATACATACATACAAATACATACATACACATTCATATATACATACATGTGATTACATGCATACATACACAAACACACTCATTCATACATCCACATATACATATGAATACATACATACATACAAACATACACACTCATTCATTCATATATACATACATACAAATACATACATACACATTC